ATTAGCAAACCTGCATTGATACATTCATATTTTCTTAGGGAAAAACTCTCCTTCGAAAGAAGAAAATAATGTACCTATTTTCCTCCTTTCCTTTCCTATAGCGAACCTATAGCGATCATTTTGAGGTAATTTCACTCTCAGAACATGCTTTCTTGCTTAGTTTGTGTGTGTGTGAGAGAGAGAGAGACTGTCTTTAAGATTGTTGAAAATTTCTCTGAACAGAACTGCTTGTATCTTTGTAGGAAATGCTTTCCATAATATGTTCATATACTTTTCTTTCGTCAACATCCTTTCCCCCTCTCTTCTGAATTGTGCTTGCTTTGCTTTTGTTTTATTACTGGTCTTATTCCAGAAGAAGGTTCTCGCTTCTTCAGTTTTCTAATACACCTTAAAAAAAAAAAAAAAAAAAAAAAAAAAACTGTGAAAACCCTGTAGTGCCGAGTGGATACGACCATTGACCAGTGGAACTTCGTGTAAGATTCCATTGTTGGTGAATGGCCGGGATGTTTTGTAATTTTCTCCATTTGCAATATAAGCGCAATCAAATATCCTTACGAAAATCATTCACGAAACCATCTCTTTTAAGGCAAATAGCGCTCACACGTCTTGTCAAAATCAGTTAGACAACGCAAGCTATGCAAAGTTGCTACTGTTAAATATCAGATGGCGAAGTGAGCACAAGCAAAATCCTGTAAAAATACAGTGCAATGTATTCTGAAGACAAACATTTGATTTACAGAACATTTGATGGAATTTATATTGACCTCTTTTTTGAAGGTCTTCAAAATCGGGAATTTTTATATAGGCAGATAGCACTGTGCATTTACTTAATTGAAAAATTTCTTGCAATTTTTTTTACTAAGTTTCAACACGAGAATATAAACTGATCTCACAAGGCCTTTCAGTGTGATCCCACCGAGTCGGTTTCTGTAAACAAATGTGGGAAAACACATGCAAATGATTCTTTTTCCAGTTCCTTTTTCTGTAGTTATTTCTCCCACCAGTTACCGAGAGGGTAAAAACATCAAATTCTGGTATGAGGTCTAACATTCGTTATCTGATTACTGAACGAGTTGACTCGTTATCTGTTCATCCTTTCATCCTTGTCATTCCTGAAGTTGGTGGCTTATGAGTACTTTGTCGTGATAAACAACTTAGACTTAATTCATGCCAATTTTAACTTGCATTTTGTATTACTGCTTAATCAGTACTGTTGATAATGTAAGAAATAAGTTGCTACTATTAAATCGATCAAAAATGGTTATTTAGAATTTCATGTATTTACGGAATTTCTGGTACAGTTTTCAATTATAAGACTCTTCAGTTTGTTAACTGTTTTGAATCCAGTAACAGTGTTGTTGTCAGTGAATATATATGCTGGCTGTTATCCGCTTTGTTTCATGTTGCTGTCCATTTGTATTAGGTTGGCAAAAAAGTAATTTCGGTTTGTATAAATAGACAGCTTTGTGTTCGTTTTGTTATTATTCTGTCAATCTTATATATATATACATATATTTTCTTTTGAGATTTGGCAAATGACACTTTTAAGTTGCTATAGAAACAAATTCTGTTTTTTTTTTTTTTTTTTTTTTTTTTTTACAGCCGTTAGTTTATGGTCAATTTTAACGTGGCTTTTTTCTTTCTTTTTTTTTTTTTTTTCTTTTTCTTTTTTCTTAAACTTTCATGAAGAAAAGAAAGCGGCTGAGGCTCACGAAGAGAAACGCGAAGTTTATGTTGTTGATTCCTTAGAACGTATGTGTCAGAATTGGTTAAAAAATTTCATTCTGGAGATTTTTCACTTGAACATGACCCGGCCGACCTTCTGAAGTGGATGAAGACAAAATTAAAGCCATAATTGAATCGACTCGTGATATAACTGAGCGAGAGATTGCAAAAAGGTTAAATGTATCATCCACAACAACTGAAAATTACATAAGATGTCTTGGACGCATTAAGAAGCTTGGTATTTGGGCTCCACATAAGTTGAAAGACATTCACTTAACACAACGAATCAATGTTTGCGATATACATTTCAAACGTAATGCAATCGACTGTTTTTTTGAGACGAATGAAGACTGGTAATGAAATAATGGATCGTTTAAAAGAACCATAAATTGAAAAAGATAATAATGGCCCATGTATGATAAATCAGCACAAATCATATAGATAGTTAAATTGCACCAGAAAAAAGATCATGCTGTCGATGTTTTGGGATTACTAAGGTGTGCATTTTGTGCTGCTTCCAAGCTACCAAACGATCAGCTCAGTTGTTTGCTGCCAACAATTTATCAAATTGAAGTAAATAGTCAAAGAGAAAAGGCCTGAATTGTCAAATCGCAAAGAAATCATATTTTACCGCCACAGTACGAGGCGTCACACATCATTAGCAACACGTACGAAATTGTTGGAGCCTAGTTGGGAAGTGATGTGGCAACCGCCATATATCCCCGACTTTGCACCCTCGGATTATCATTTATTTTGAAGTTTACAAAACTTCTAAAATGATAAATACTTCAGAATAAGTTTAGAATCGTATTCCATCACGAGAAGGCAAGGCCTCACACACTTTAGCAACACGTACGAAATTACTGGAGCTTGGCTGGGAGATGATGTCGCATCCCCATACAGCTCCGACATTATACCATCGGATTATCATTCAATTTCGAAGTCTACACTCCTTAAATGGTAAAATATTTAGTAAAAACGATGACGTCAAATCGCAGTTGGTTGAGTGTTTTGCTGATAAAGACCAGAAATTCTACGAGCGCGGAATCGTGAAGTTACCAGAAAGATGGCAAAAAGCTTATCGATCAGAATGGAAGTCATCCAGTCATTTTTTATTCAATTTATTTAGGCTGTATTTATTTAAATTTTTATAGAATTTTATTTCTCGCTAAAATACCGAAATTACTTTTTGTCCAACCCAATATTTATTTGCCTTTTGGTAGATTCAGATTCCTGGTTTATTCGAAATTTTAAAGGCACATTTTGTCATTTGGAATTGAGACAGGGTTGTTTATCTGTACTCTCGCTTTCTAATTTTCGTTCGTTATTCATCATCCATTTTCTTACACAATTATTATGATTTCAATCAACGGCGGGTAAAGCGTAGAATCCTGGTAGGGGAGATGATGGAAGCTAGGCCAAAAACATTTCATTCCCTCCTCATGGTTTCCCTTTATCTTTGACGTAATGGTTCCTCTCGGCTGTCGTAAATAAGCTTGTTTGGCCTTTTGAGTAACTCCGGGATTGGTGGAGGGTGTTTCTAACCAGATTGTGACCCCGAGTGCTGTTCTGCCCTCATCGATAACGTTCGTGTCGAAAGAAAGCAGCCATTCTCGTTTTCAGAGCCTTCTTTGAAAAACGATTCTCATGTTTAGGATCCCTGTGATTTTGCTTTTCTGACAATGGCGATTTACAAAGCATTGGACAACTGTAAACGTTTGATGTTGAAATATTTTTTGCTGGTATCCGAGTAATTCCTTTTTTGTTAGCAGAAATTGAATTAAGTAAGCTGGGCTTTCTAATAGGGTTTATTGCTGGCGTTATACCCAATTGATCAAGTCTTGAGTATTTAATTTTCATGCCCCAAAAATGATAGTCCGTCCAGACAAACTCGTGCTCTGAAACAATGATAATCCGTAGAGATACAGGAAGGGTCGGAAGAAAGATCACCCAGAAAACTGCTGTCAGTCACATTGCGAAAATGAAAAAGTCAGAGCTCTTTTGTAAGAAATAATTCAATTATAAAATTAATTCTGTTATACTGCTAGAATTGAATTACAATTATCAGAAATCACTTACAGTATGGCAAACTGGATACATTATGATTTGAGTCTTTTTACTTCCTTGTACGAAGTAAAAAGATACGAGATACGTACGTACGCAAAGTGCGTACGTACGTATCTCGCATAACTCAAAAACGAGTAGCCTCAGAACGTTGAAATTTTGTATATAGGACTACTATAACATGTAGATGTGCACCTCGTATTTCGGTTGCAATCGGCCGCACCAAACGTATATAAATATATTTATATATATATCCACTCTGTTACCCGGCTCAGTGATCTCAGTTTTTTACTCTTATATGTTTGTTAATTGTACATTTTTTTCCTTTAAAAATGATTGAATTATGTTGTTCTTATCTTCCGGTTAAGGTCTTTATGCCTTTGGTAAATCTGTATGCAATATTTTATAGAGTTATCAACAATTTAAAAGTTGTTTAAGTGCGGCTAAGCCTAATTAATGTTTGTGATGGCGGCCATTGCTCTTGTTTACACTTTGAAACTTAGCAGGAATAGCGGATTTGTTGCCAATCAAGAGAAACTTAAGCTTTCGCACAAGAACAAAGATAACGCCTTCATTATTATTTAAATCATGCTTATATCCATTCTGGAATTTGTTCGAGAAAATAAGTGTTTAAGATTAACTTCGTAATTTTTAATACAGATATTTTGAGTTTTTATGTATTTTTGCCTTGTCGCGATGTGAGAACTGAATTAATTGAATGAGAAATACTCAATCGTCTGTGGAAAACTGTTTCTTTTTTGTTTTGTTTGCTTAATTTATTTTATACATAGTTCTAGCTTTATTATAGTATTTGAATAGAACATGTGGCAACGATTAGATAATTCTTTAAATGATATAAATTTTGTGCATTCTGACTTATAATATGAACGAAATATAATACTGTTAAGTAAACCTAGCGCCACTATACTGTTAAGTAAACTGTTAAGTAAACCAGCTTTTTTACTATTAAATATGTATAATTGTTCTTCATCCGTAATGTTTTAAAGCAGTGAAAGTTAAGGCCCCTCCTTTAAAGATATTTTGAATTAAAGAAGCTATTGCGGAAATTCGACGAATACAAATATGAATATTTAAAAAAAAATTGTTATTTTATGAATTTGTTTGATACTTTATAAGTTATTCAATATCATTTCTTTAGAACTTCGACGCTGACTGGATGACTTTAATTAGTGCTGTTTTTTATGTTGTAGAGACAATAGGTATTTTTTGGAAGCAGGAAAGATGAAAAATTAGCAAGCACCTTCGCGGGGAATCGAACCACGGACCTCTGGAAAACCGGCCCATCGTGCAGAACCACTACACCACGAAGGCACGCTAGGAAAGCGGGAGAGATACCGTATAATGTATTTAAAAAAATTTAATAGGTTTAGAAAAAACTATTATTGTCATACTTTTATAGTATAAAATAATAAAATCAATAAAAAATTAATATAGAAAAATAATACAATCATATTCTTACAGCATTATTAGAACACAGAGAGCGCCTACACATTTGCATTTTTTCCTCCAAAGAATATTATTTCTAACATCATATTTAGCTACAGAAGGTGGTTTTTGTGCCGTGTCTTAACTTTTGACGAAATAAAGAACACAATGTTGAACTATAGGATTTATGACTTTGTAGCAAGTCTTAAGCTTAGAGCTGATAAACTATTAATTTATTACTAGGCTTCTCGTACTTTATTCTTACTATTGTATTAGAAATGGTATATTGTTATCTGCAGTGCTCTGTGTATGCATATGAAAGTTTTATTATTCGAGGAAATTAAAATATTTTGTCATCTACTCTTCGTATGGGTGTTTTTTTTTTTGCAAAGAAAAGCGATCCATTGAATTATACGCAAGATAGAAAAAAGTACGCAAGATAAATTGCTAATTTTAATTAGCAATAGTGCCATAAATCTCAATTGTAACATGATTATTCCCCCTTTTTTACTAAAACGAGTAATTGCTGTTAATAAACGAATAATTGCTGTTAATAAATACTGCAAAATTAATAATTCTGATATGATTCTTTCAAAACGGATGATTCTGACATCATTCTTATCTTACGCTACTGATCTAGGCACTTACATAACGCTTCAGCCAATCATAATATTCAAATTTCCAAAATGAAACTCAAACAAGCATTCATAGTAAAGCTAAATCATTACTAAATCAGTTTTATAGAGACTTTCATGGTATTATCTGTACATTAGTTCTCTGCTTCTTCCGCCTACCAATTTTTCATCCACGCTTTTCGTACTTAACTCTATGTTCATCATAAAAATATAAAAGTTACGTTATTAAAGACGTATGCTTTCGCCAGCTTAGCCATGTATATCAAGAAATCGTTTCATCAAGAACTAAAATGCGTATCACAGAGGGTGTTTACACATTTTTAGAAAGATTTTGATAAACAATTAAAAAAAAAAGCAAATGTTTTTGAACTGGCAAAAGCTTATTGTTTGAAATATTGTCTATTGCTTTTAAAATATAATCTATTTTTAAAATGTCGCATGTAAACAATATCTGCATTAAAGGATATGTTTCTGCGCTTTCTGGAGAAAAATAGTCCTCTTCTATCATACAGAAGCATTGTCAAATACATGATGTTAATATTTCTAATTGCAAAATATGCAAAATTATTATTCGGAAAGGAAAAAAGGATCACTTATTACTTCTAGATGGAAAGAACACTCCAAACGAATACTCGAAAAAGGCACGCACTGTTTTTAATGTTTCTTAAGTTAAATCATTTTAACAAGAGAATATGCCCCGATGCACAGATCAATTGTAAAGTCTTAAAATACATTCGCAGCAACATAAAATAAATAATCAGCCAAGATTTAGCACTTAAAAATGCTAAAAAGACATAATTTTACCAGTTTTCGCCGAGGCATGTGACTCAACACAGAATAATTTGTAGCACCCTGTGTGAAAACTATTTACCAGACTATAAATCGAAATACAATGTGACCATTGATGAAACATGGGATTACTTAAATGACTGAAAAAAAAAAAAAAAAATCTGTTTATTAAGAAAACGAAGAGAAAAAAATTGTACAAACCTGTTCCATCAGTGCAAAGAAAGTTTCAGTAAGGGCTTTATGATTGTCGTAGGATTCTCTTACAGTGGGAAATTAAAAATAAGAAGAGTGGAAAATAATATTAAAATCAACTCGACATGCAAAAGAGGAAGTTTTACGTCTGACATTTACGATTTTACGTCCAGTATTACGTATTATTAATTTTAATAACTTTCAGAAAGCGAAACTTCATCAAAATTAAGCAATAAGTCATACTTCGAAAAGTACCACTGCATTCCTTGAAAAAATGAAGACTGATATAGATATTGCAGACATATTACTTCGACATAGACCTGTGAAGTCTCCTAACGTTTTCCCTGTTGGATTATTGTGTCTTATCTCATGAAATTTTCTTTGGAGGGGGAAACTCTCTTGATCTCTTAGGGGGGGAACTCATTTTAAGCGCAAACCCACAACGATTGATGACCTATGGATAGTAGTAGAAGAGGAATGAAGATCAGTACCCCTGGAAATTTGTTTTCTTTCGTTTTTTTCTTTTTTCAGTTTAAACATAATTAAGGAGTCCCGAAATCGTTCTAAAAGTGTATAAACAATTTAAAAAACTAAGATTTTAAAATCTTTTAAAAAACGAAGTTCCTGTTTTTATAAGTAAATAAAATTGCTCTTTTGCCTACCTTTACGTTTTACGCTGGCATGTTTCTTTTGCTATTTAAAATGTGTGTTTATGAAGTTCAAAAATAAAAATTAAATGTATTCCACGGCTGCACCAAGTTCGTCATGAATCGGCTTTTATCGTGACCAACATTTCAATTATATGATATTAGTAAAATCATATATGTATATGAATTCATGAAAAACTAATCCTTAATTACTTATTTATGGAAGATAATAAAGTTAACATCAGTTTATCGTCTCAAAGTGGATAAAATCAAATAACTGTGGAAGAATAGAATTTTTTTAGAATTGTAAAAATAAGCAATGGTGTTGCTGCAAGAAATGCTTTACAATTATACTCAGTCAATGTTTTACTATTCTTATTTTTCATAAAATTATTTCTGGAAATAACACCAACTTGAGTATAAGAGACTTTTTTTTTTTTCCTTGGATTTTTTAAAAAGCAGCATTGTTTTATGAAGCATATAATTTTGGTATTCATTTTTTTGCTGTTTAAGAAACTGAACTGAAAAGTTACGATTGGTACGCAAACTCTTTTATTAAATGCTTGAAAACGCTCTTAGATTTCATGAACAACTACGAAAATATTGCTTTTTATTTCTTGAGGAGCATCGTTGCTAAGTGAAATCACTTTTCCGTAATAATCCACAACTTTTACGGAGAGGGAGGTTTTCCGTTATTTTTTGTTTATTAGGTATAAAAGAACATTTATGGTAAGTTTTTATTAATATCAAGTTTTTCAAATAAAGTAGATCCCATCTATAGCTTTTGAGAAAAAAAATTTAATTTTTAAACAGGGATTCTATTTGGTACAAGTGGTACCAATGCCTTAAATTATTACAAATAAAGATAAAAGAAAAAAATCTGAAAGGTTTCAGATTTTAAATTACGTCCAAAGGGGCGTTTTTTTAACGTTTTGTGTGTTACCTTTATTTATTAAATCTTACGTTCTTTGCACTTAAACCATAAAATTCAATTCAATAGCAATGTCGCAAAATAATTTTAAAAAGAGCTATCTTTAGAACTTTCGGGTCCACCAGCGGCCGAGCGGTAAAGTCGCTGAACACTGTTAGTTCGGTCCGAGGTTCGAATCCCGCGAACGGGCTGGCTGCATGGGTGTTTTCGTGGTTTTCCCCATGTGTAACGTGTATACGAGTCAGTTTCTCTTAGAAAGTCCTCCACGAAGTCATCCCTCCCCTTAGGCAGATAGCCCTAGTGTGCTTTGCCATAATTAAATACACACACTTTACAACTTTCGATACAAAAGTTCCGCGCGCTGGAGATAAATTTTTTTTTTTTTTTTTTTTTCCGTACAGTGTTGCCATTGCTCGCTTTAAAATTCTTGAGTTTGTTAATCAAAAATTCGTTTAAGTTTTACAAAATATGAAATCGATAATAAAAGAAATTCCAAATTTCAAATTGGGTCTTCCACATGCCCATATTCGTAGGAGGATTACGTCATTCAAAATTCGATGGCTCTCTGTACCGTTGTTTTATGACAATGAGAGAAATATACATACATTTATGCAGATTTTTCATTATTTAATTTCTTCAAATATAATGCAGGACTCTAACATTGGGTGGCAACAGTTTGAAAAGTGAAACGGACATTTAGAGTGATTCGACGCAAAATCGCAAAACGAAAACAATAATCTTTCAGGGACAAAGCCCCTTTGGACTAATTATAGCATTCTACTGTGTGTGTTGTAGTGTAACTGGTAGCACCTCTGGCTAGTAATTGAAAGATCCGTAGTTCTAATCCTAGCCAGAGCATACCTAATTATTTTTATGATTTTTGCTGAAAAATGATAATAATAAGAAAACAAGTTGTGTGTTCCTAAACAGATCATACAATGGTATAAAGTTACTGCTATCAGATATATTATACAGCTTGTTGCAAAGTGTTATTAAGAACTAAGTATTATTGATAAATACATTAAATACATTCTTGGAGTTTTTGGAGCGTTACTGTACCATGTATTTATTTCATGGTACCATACCCTATCTGGTATAGTAACGTTATACCATGCGTATCATCATATGCCTAATGAGCACTGAATATTTTGCTACTGCTTGAAACATTGAACTGCCTCATAACGGTGACGCATTAATTCAAAATCACTGATTACTAGTGACTTTAAGAGTTCTGAATGTCCCTCGATTTAATTTTATGTCACTAATCTATCTAAATTTAGCGCACCGCTCCTCTCTGTGGATCGAACGCAAATGATTGTAAACCACCAATTACATGTGACAAACAACCTTGACAAGCAACGGTGCCCTTGAGTTTAATTTTATTTTAATAAGCTTGTAAAGTTCCTCACTCTAAAGTAAACATTGGGGAACCCTGAACTGTTAATCGAATTATCGCTTAGTTCAGATAACAGAAATCGTAAACTCAAGTAGGGTTAACTACCCTTTATGTCACTCAAAATAATATGAACAGTTGGCCCCTTTCTTCGGGCTTACACCAAAGCCTCCTATTGGGCTTAAAGTCAAAAATAAGAAATAAAATCTAACTATGACTAATAAAGAGACTTAGCCGA